AATAAGGTAACCTTATAACTAACAAAGATTAAAAATGACAGCCTAAAACATGGGAAATAACTCAAAGGCTCAACAACAGAAAAATCGCAAAATAAAAACCATGGCTTGTCAACACACATAACAAATAACCGGATTACTGAAGAGTATAAATTGGCACAACCAGTTTGGAGGTGACTTTGGGGGAATAATTTAATTTTATGGGTTCATATTCTCTGATTGAGCAATTCCATTGTCAGAAATTTATCCTATAGATAAATTCCAGAATATAAACCAAATTTTATTTGAGGATGTTCACAGCAATACTATATGAGTTTTTGTTTTTCTGGTTTTTCTTTTTTTTTTTTTTAAAGAATGCGACTTAAATGCGCACCAATAGGGGGCTGGTTGAAAACTAGGTTCCTCCATTAGTTGACACTACCTAACTGAAAAATAGGCTCTATGTCTGCTGTTTACAAAGATATCCAAGACGTAGAGTTAAGTTTAAAAATCAAGCTTCAGAATAGCAAAAACAAAAAGCATATGAACGGCCAACGCATGGAAATGTGTGCGTGCAGGAGTGCTAACTATAAAAAGGACGCAAAGCCGAAACACAGAGGTAAACCACAATGACACAGAAGTATTCAGATGACACAGATAAGCCCCAGAAAAGAAACGGGGGTGACATAAATTGTTCAGTGTTCATTTTATGTTCTTTTCTTTTTCCGTATCATTGAATATGTTCACACTCTTGTATAAAAAAAAATAAAAGGCAGGATATTATTATTGTTTTAACTGTTAGGTTCTGAGCAGGTGCTTTCTCCCTAGGATGGCGATTTGTAAGTTACAGAGAAAACTCACACTGGCCACCTCATGAGGCTACATTGCCTGCCTTGGGCACTCTGCTGGCGGGGTTGACTTGCTTATGATTCACAGGGTGTTGCTAAGCCAGGACAACGTAGGCTGGTGCCAAGAGGCTCCCAGGACCTTCTGCAATTGGGGGCAAAGCACAGTGAACTTGGCCCTGGAAAGGGAGGTTGCTGACCAGCCCATTGTCCGGGAGGCAGCTGTCTTAGGCTGGAGAACTTGCTCTCCATCATTCACTCATTCATTTGTAGAAGTGCACCGAGCATCAGCCATGTGCTAGGTGATGGGGAGACAGCAGAGAACTAAACCAACCTTGTCTCTGCCTTTGTGAAGCCAACAGTGGTGTGGGAGACAGACCTGAGTTGGGAGTTGTATAAATGGGTGAGAAATGGCAGTGGCAGGTGTTGGTGGAAAAGGAGAGTTTACAGCGCTCGGGCACACATGTAATTTCCTCCTCCCAGAGGGTGGTGCTTCCCAGAGAACTGGGGTAGGCTGGGGAGGAGGGACATGAAATGCTTTGCTACAGGTGGATAGACAGACCATTCAAAGCACTTGCTACAGAGGGGCAGCCACAGAGATGTCCCTGGAGCCTTTGGGGCAGGGGCAGGGCCCTTGATAGTAAAGGCATAAACAGACCATAGGCTGCCCCCAATAAACAGACCTTAGTCTGGGCCTTGACCTCTCCACCTAAAAAACAAAGGAGGTAGAAAAGTCGTGTTACACTAAGAAAATGAAAGATTAGAAAACCGGAACAGACTGTTCTATTTGAAAGGTATAAATGCACACATACACTCTGCCCAAATTGTGTGGGCGTACACAACAGCTCCGCCTGTGTGGACCACAGACCGTCTTCAAACAATCAGTCTGCCTCCACGTACAAGCCCCATCAGGCTGGGCTAATTTTTGGTAGATACATAGTGAGACACATCAGGGAGGCTGAGGGAAAGATGAGTGCTATAATTTTAGGGTTGGAGGGGGTGTGTTCAGGATTCTGTGCTGAGCAACACAACAATTAATTCAGGGAAGAGCATGGAGAAGCGAGATTGGGTCCGCCCGCTCAGCCAAAGCTGGAGCTTTGCCACCCACAGCAACTCCATGATAGATCTGGGGGAAGGATTTAATTCACGCCATTTAACACAGTAAGCTCAGTGCTGGACACACACACAGTAAACGTTAGCTGCTGTGGTCCCCACCCTATAGTCTAAGGGATACAAAGAGAACCCCAAAGAAAGTTCCCTAACAGACAGGGACAGGATACGAGCGGTCACCCCGGGCCTCAGGGGGAGTGTAGCCATTCATCAGCGATCTGGGTGACCTCTGGAGTAATTCACTGTAGGGAACTCCTGACCAGTTCTCAGCAGCTTCCTGCCACGGGCAAGCCGCAGAGTCCAAGGGCAGGCAGGACTGACTTTACGAGAGCACATCAAAGGCAGCACAAACTCACCTGACAGGACGCTGCACAAGTTAAACCAAAAAGGGGACCTGATGCAGGATGCTCTGCCAGAGTGGTCAGCACCAAGAGCCTTGGATCAGACGGGTCACCAAGACGTGTTCTCTGGTTCCCAGCAGAGGCAGTCTTTATAAGTGAATGCTCTCAAGTCAGAGCACATCTAATTGGTCTGGGGAGTGTGCTCTTTAAAGGATGCCACTGACAGTCCTTCTGTGAAGTGAATCACCCCTCTCTGGCCCTCCTGTAATGTGGACTTGCTCCCTGCCATTCCCACCATGGGCATCTTTGACGTGCTGTTGACCAGCCCTCATGACAGATGCTCCCCACAAAGCCTTGAGGAGCCTGGGAATGTGGGGTGGCCCCGGGAGCTGCAAAGGTGACAAAAGGACCCAGGAGAACACTTCTGAGGAGAGGCTGAGGGGCCGGGTGTTACGAGCACAGAGCAACATGCCTCAGCGTTACAACCGCTCTGTTATCCAGACAACAGAAACTCATTTCGGGGGGAACAAGGAAGGGGAAAAACCCTCGCAGTGCAGCCTGGCAGGTTCAGGTTGGATGCAAGGGAGCATGTCCGGGACGGCAGGAGCAGGTGGAGACTTCCCTTCCCTTCCCTGGCACGGATGCAGCTACCTCCTGCCAAGAGGCAGATGGTTTAGATGCCCCTGAATGGTCCCTTACAGTTCCCAAATGGTATTTTTAATTCTCAAACATATGTCATAAAAATCCAGTCAACTGTGATGACTTCACAAGAAGGTTTTCTTTTTAGAAAAAAAAATGCTGAATTTATTAAAAATAAAACCATATTCCCACAAGATAACTCGGACAAGACTGTTCAGAGCAGTCTCATTGGTTAAGGGGCCAAATCTGTGAACAACTCGCACGCCTGTCAACAGCGAGTGGATAAACGGACTGCGGTCTTTTCACAGGATGGGACACCACTCAGCAAAAACAGGGACAATGTACTGACACGCCCAGTAGTGTGGACGCATCTCCAGACAGAGCACACCCCACATGGCCCCACTTAGACAAATCTCCAGGACGGCAACCCAAACCTGTGGTGGGAGAAATCAGAACCACAGTTGCCTTGTGGTTAGACCAGGAGGGAAATTAACTGAGAAGGGGTGGGACAGAACTTTCTGGATGACAGAAATGTTTTATGTCTTGTTTTAGGTGGTGGGGACACAGGTGCATAGGTATATACAATTGTCAGACTCGCTGAATTGCATAATTAAGATACGTGTACTTTATTGTATGTAAACTTTACCTCAATAAAAAAGAAAAATTGGCTCAGCATCCGTAGCACAGCGGTTATGGTGCAGCCACATATACCAAGGGTGGTGGGTTCGAACCTGACCTGGGCCAGCTAAACAACAGTGACAACTGCAACAACAACAAAAAAATAGCTGGGCATTGTGGCAGGCGCCTATAGTCCCAGCTACTTTCGAGGCCGAGGCAGGAGAATTGCTTGAGCCCAAGAGTTTTAAGTTGCTGTGAGCTATGACACCACAGCACTCTACCAAGGGTGACATAGTGAGACTCTGTCTCAAAAAAATAAATAAAAAGAAAAAGGAAAAATTATGAACTCAGGGTTCTGTGATTCACAAAATCTTGAAACTATGCTTTCCTGCGTTCCCTTGGACTGCACAATACTGGGCAAGTTTGTAAAACTCTCTGGGCCTCAATTTCCCCCTGGAACAACAGTAACCCGATCAGGGTGTCCTGAAGGTAAAACAAGTTACTACATATGCATGTGAGAAGTGCTCAGTTGAGGCTTAGCTATTATAATTTATCGTCCCTTCTCTACTTTCACCTGGCAAGAAAGTGTTTTGAAAACACTTCATTTAAAACCTCACTTATACCGGGCGCAGCAGCTCACGCCTGTAATCCTACCACTCTGGGAGGCCAAGGCAGGTGGATTGTTTGAGCTCAGGAGTTCAAGACCAGCCTAAGCAAGCATGAAACCCTGTCTCTTCAAAAAATAGAAAAATTAGCTAGGCGCCATGGTGGGCACCTATAGTCCCAGCTACTCAGGAGGCTGAGCAAGAGGATCAGTTGAGCCCAAGAGTTTGAGGTTGCTGTGAGCTACTATGACACCATGGTGCGCTACGCAGGGTGATGGATGGAGACTCTGTCTCAAAAACTAAAAAATGACTTTACTCATAAGCTTCTGGGTTGAATAGTCATAGATTTCTGCGGCTCCTGCTCAAGTTAGGTCATTCTTGCACCATTGTTATAGGCTAAATTTTGTCCCCTGCCAAATTCATGTTAAATCCTAGACGCTAGTATCTCCGAATATAACTGAGATATATTTGGAATTAGGGTCTTTAAACAGGTAACTAAGTCAAAATGAGCTGGGGGGCGAGGGGGCGCTGATCTTACAAGAAGAAAAAGTTAGGTCCAGACTGTAGCTAACACCTTAATCCCAGAATCCTGGAAGGCTGAAGCTGGAGGAGTTTAAGATCATCCTGGACAACACAGTGATACTCAATCTCTACAAAATATTTAAAAATGAGCTGGCTGTGGTGGCGTGCGCCTATAGTCCCAGCTACTTGGGAGGCCGAGGCAAGAGGATAGTTTGAGACCAAGAGTTTGAAGCTATACTGAGAGATGATGATGCCACTGCACTCCAGCCTGGGGGAGG